AGATGCGCTGAAAAGTGGTGTATAATTATCTTCGTCTCTAGAATTCACATCAGCTCCATGTTCGACAAGATATTTGGCAATCTCCGTGCTACCTGTAAAATGTACGAAGTTCTCATGAAACAACCATTCTGCTAAATGAATCCATTGAAAATTACCACTTGCAACAGCCAAAGATAGAGGTGTATACTTGTGGACAGTTGTAGCATTTATATTTGCTCCATGTTCAACTAAATATTTAAATATTTCAAATTTGCCTGAAATGTTGTGCAGATAAATATTTAGTGATCCTACCACGTTATTTTCATTTTCAAGACCTATATATAGGCCATATAATCAATAATTACGATATCGAGCGGCGTTATGGAGTGGCGTCCATTTATCATTATCTTCGGCATTCACCTTTGCACCACGAGTGATTAAAAACTCAATAATTTCGCGTCTACCTGAAATTTTAAGCAAAGAAACAGTTGGCTTAACTACTTTAGCTATCACGCTTGATATTTTCAAATTTCAAATAAATAGACAATTACCATATTGAACAGCCTTATGGAGTGGTGTAGAATGACTGTAATCTCTAGAATTTACATCCGCTCCATGATCGACAAGAGCTTTGACTATGTCCGTTTTATCTGCAAAATTTATAAAATTCTTATGAAGCAACCACATTTTTATTTTTATTTATCAATTTGAAATTACTCCGAGCTACCGCAAGTGAAAGCAGTTCATACGAATTTCTATCATTTACGAGTGAACTATTCTCAATTAGACGTGTAACTACATCTACATTCTCTGGAAAGGATAGAAGAAAGGCATTTAAATTTAATATATATTCTTTTATCATATTCAAACATTAAGCTGTAATGATATTTCAAAGGAATTGAATTTTATGAAAATTAACTCGGAGAAAGATAAAAAATCGTTGAGAATATTATGGAATGTGTAATGATTGTCTTTGACTTACCTAATCTGATAGCATCAAAAAGTTCCTCAGTTTCATTTCCTGTGAAGAATTTGAACAAAGGAGAAGATTCAGAATTAACCTAGTTACAAGTGTTAGTAATGGGTTATACAAGTTGTGCTAAATGTTCAGCGTCAATGCGGTTACAGTTGTGTGAAAAAATAACCTGTGCAAAGTTTCAGCTCATTACGATATCATACAGACATGGCTTCCATACAAAAATCCAACTTTTAAAAAAAAAAATTGTGCATCGAAAATTATGTGTATCGCAAAACTAAGGTCAGATTCATTTTTTACGTGAATTCAAAAAGTGAATATATGTGATAAATTCATGTTGTGGATCACAGTGCGTAAGACATTTTATTCTCATCGGGATTTGAGCTTACTTTAATCCTCACCCTTTCAATTAAGTATTTATCAAACAAATTTCAATTCTTTTTTCTGATTCAACTAATATAGTGCAACCAAAATAAATAAAGTTCATGAAAATATTTAATGTCATATATTTTTCTCACAACATATACGCCGTAATCACACATCAATTTTATGATTGATTTACCTATTTCGATTTGATTTTTTTCAAATTTAAAATTGATTCTTTTCAGATTTTTTTTTTTTCAAATCCATTTGAATTTTTATTATTAAAAAGTAAAAAACCAAACTTAATCCGTTTTTTAATCCCATCGGTTTTAATTTGCTTACATTCAAATTCATTAAGCTTACCTCGAGTACTTTTCGCAACAAAATTCACAGCAAGGAGGAGAACGACCACAAGTAAAAATCCTTTCTTCATGTTTGGCATTTGTTTTTACCACTGAACGAGTTTTTGAACGGAAAAATAATGATGGAACTTATTGAATTGTAACAAATAACACGAGAGCACTGTTCTTGTAATGAAATTGGCAATTTAAACGTAAAATTCGCGAAAGAACGCAAGCATCGAGTGATCACTTGCTGTGTTTAACCAACCTATTAATACCCGCATCAAAATCACACATTAAACAAATAACGTATTAATAATA